AAATCTAAAAAAAAAACCAACCCCGAACAAAACCCACCTGCTTGGAGCTCTTCCTCCTGCGACGCTTGCCCTGCGCGGCGGACAAGGCCCGGAACTCCTCCATGGTTGCCACGTTGGCCAGTGTTTGAAGATCGGCCCGCGACTCCATGAACCGCTTCAGCTCGCCCTCGAAGCTGCTCTTGTCCAGGCCTTTCTCCCCCTCCAGGGGGACGCCGCCTTCTTCGTCGCACGACTCGTCAATGACCAGCTTCTTGCCGCTCGGAGATACCGAACGGACGTCTAAAGAGAGAGAGAGAGAGAGTTTTGTTTTAGTAGAGGTTTTACGGCAATCGCAACTGCATAAGGTCATATGAGCGACAGAAGATTAGAGGTGTTACAAGAGAGTAACAAACATAAAAAAGGAGGGGAGATAAAGACGATAAATGTTTGATAGGAAAGAAGAAGCAAACCACACCAGAGCACCAGCCAACCACTAACAGAGAGAGAAAAAAACACATACAAGATTTGATTTACCAAACCTATTTGGGGGGGGGGGGATATTAACCTGTTCATATGCACAGTAAAATAGTAAATGGGCTGATATATCAATGTCATGCTCATTCATACTGTGCTGAAACAATGTAGGATAGGGCAAAACTGCTGCTTTTTCTTTCCTCATCCTTATTGTCGTCATTTTTTTTCTACTCCTTTTGTATGTTTGTCCCTCTCTTGAGAACTGCTATTTCCGGGGTGGCTTGGTAGTCGTACCAGACTTTGAGCTGTTGGGGCTAGAGAGGTGAGCAGAGTAAGCCAGTATCAAACACCCGATTTTTGAACTAGTTTGCTTTGAAACTTCACGGGGACGAATTTTCCATTCTCAACATTAGACGACGGGTCAAAGCATGCTCATGTGTCTAGCATCTAGTCACCGAAATGCTAAAAAAAAAAAAAGTCAATACCAAAAATGCAACATTTCACGAGGATGAATTTTCAATAATTCTTAACTTTGTACGATTGGTCAAAAAGTCCTCACCTGTCTTAGTGGGCGAGCCCGAAGTCTTCCTCTCCTCCGTCAAGCCAGTCTTGACCGGCGAGTCTCGCTGCGGGTGGTGGTTGTTAGGGGGGATAACTCCCGTAATCTGTACGGCCGCAGCAGGGGACAGCTGACGGAGGCCGCTGGGCTCCACCACGGCGGCGGGGTAGCTCCCCTTGAGCAGGCTGTGGTAGCCTCCCTTGAACAAACCCTTCTGGCTCATGTACTTGAAGATCTCCGAGTGCTGAAAGCGGCCGCCCTCCATCTGACGCGCCGCCGTCTCGAAGCGCTCGAGCTCGGCCAGGGCCAGAGGGTGGGTGGAGAAGGCTTTAGGGTCGGGTACTTGTAGGAAAGGGTGTTTGGGAATGGTCAGGGGGGAGGGGAACGGGCCGGGCTGAGATGACGGGGGGCTGGAGGGTGTTCCGTGGGCCGAGGACGAGTCCGCCACGCTGTGACAGGGCGAGGATCCCTGCGGGGGCGTGGTGGCCGACAGGGGAGGCGACTCTAGCTTAATCGACGGTGGTGGTGACGAGGGGTTGGTGGTGTTGGTGTTGTTGCTGGTGGTGGAGGAGGTGGACACGGGCTCCAGCTTGGGTTTCTTATTGCTGAGGTTCAAAACCTGATCTTCCAGATTCTCCACGTGGGCCTGAACACCTTGGTGGGGGTGGTGGTGGTGGTGGTGGGCGCGGGGGGGCTGCTGCTTGCGGACGGTCAAATCCAGGGGCTGGTCATCCGACGGAGGGGTCAGCGGGGCCACGGTGGACAGGTTGACCGGTGCGGAGGGCACCTGGGTCAGAGGGTACAGACTAGCCATCTCGCTGTGGACAGAGCCGGGCCCCGCTGCGTACTTGTGAGCAAACTGGTGGTGGTGGTGGTGGCTGTGGTGGTGGCTGTGCTGGAACACGGCAAACGGGTTCGGCACAATGGGGATGTACGGGGAGGGGGAGGTGGCGGTGGCCGGGCTGCCGCTACGTTTACGACTGCGAGCACGCGCCTGCTTGGCCCGCTCCTGCTTCTGGTCCTCCCGGCTTCGCTGGTTCTCAAACCAGTCCTGGAGGGGGAGGGAAGAAGGAGGAGAGAGAGAGAGAGAGAAAAATTAGTAACTATTCAGACAACAAAGGTCACTGCACAGAATTCACCTTTGAAACAAGGGCAGCTAGTTGGTGTGAGTGTCGGTGTGTGTGTGTGTGTGTGTGT